AATTATTGACATCTTCTTGGATTTGACTTTCATTTTTAGCGCCCAATAATATCGCCGATTGTGTTATATATTGTTTATATGCGTTCACAATATCGGGGTAAGCGCTGGTATTGACCAATTGGTTTCTACCCAAACCAAAACTAGCTGCATCGAACTTACAACATAAATTCAAAATATTAAAATACAAATAAATTGTTTTCTATACAAATTTATAAAATGCAAACTCACATAAACTCTATTAACTAACGTGTCGTTAGCGTCCGGTTGTATTGAAACTGAGAAAATGGACGGCAAACCCATTTTGGCCACAACTTTGGCCAAAGAGTTTCTCCAATCGTAATCAATGTCAACATCGGAGCCAAAGTGTCCGCTTAGAGGCCATCCGCCGATTGAGTCCAGAGCTGTCAGGAGTGGCAAAACTCCGCGGCTATTAATTGTCTCTACAATAATAAAAAACAAACATAAATATTTAGCCAACAAATCATACAAAACGGATGCAAACCCTCATCAATACAGGCTTTGTAGAGATCGGAGGCATATATAACGGCGTTTGAGTCGTTATGAGTGCGACTTTGGCTCAGATATAGTTTGATATCTTTCTTGAGCTGTTCGTCGACCGCATCAAAGCTGCCGTAACGGGACTTATCGGCCGGAATAGTGTGCGTCGCTTCCCATCCGCCGCACGCGAACGCATAGAAGTCATCGCACGGGTCGACCGACCGGTTGAGCGACGCCTCTATCAGTTTGCCGGCCCTCTCGCACGCACTCGTCCTACAAATGTCCGGACTCTGCACTACGGCCTCACTTCCCGCCGACTCTAATGTGTTGTCTTTAATGACTGAATTGGTTTCAATCGTTTCGGTTTGCGATGAATTGGCTTTTATATCGGATTCATTAGGAATTATCATACTTTCAGTACTTCTTGTATTGACCGCATCGGTAGTACTCGAGCTAAACGTTGGACTGTTTGAGGCATTTATTATCGCTTGTATTAATGTTTTGGTTGTCGCCGTGTTTTCCGTTGAATTTTCTGCAATTTTCAAATAAAATTTAGTAAAATAAAAATTTTGCGCAAAAATACTTTACTGTAAATAAGAGCTGAAGTATTACCTGAACGTAAAAATATAGCCAATTGTTTATTATATGAGACAATTCCGGCCGTAAGTATGAAACCGATGGTCACGACAAAGAGGGCGCTGACCAACAAAATCAGGTATTTCTCC